TAAAGCCTCAGACACAGACGCGCTGTCCCCATCGGCTTTCAATGATGGAGGCTCAGCGTTAGTCTCGTAGTTAACAAAACTCATGGACTGTGTGAGAAAAGGAACAGGTTCCAAGGGAATGGTGTGAATCGGTCATCATATTGAGTAGGAAGAAAAGTGACGGGTTGTTGTAAAAACCACAGAGCAAGTCTAATCGACATTGCTTCTTAACTTCTCGCTGATATCATACTTTGTCGATTGTGTGCGGCACGTGAAGAATGTACGCGTGAGAACCAGGCTGGCTTTAGACCTGGTTGAGGTTGTACCAACCACATCTTCACTGTTTGCTAAACTATAAAGCATCAACATTCTTTTCGTAGACCCAGCATTGCACGAAACTGGCGGTTCAGCCGGACGAGGAATGCTGAGGTTAGGCGCAGAGTTTTGGGTATCCGCGGTCGCCCATTGAAGCAAGTTATCGACCTTCATAGATTACGTTGGTTGGGACATGTTTTACGCATGTCACCAAATAGGTTGCCATGGCGAGCGGTTTTCACCGAGGCAGGTAGTGGGTGTAAAAAAGCCAAGGGTGGTCAACCAAAGACCTGGCACGAGGGCAGGAAATCCCTAACCAGGGGACTGGGTCACATAGGTAACGTTAGGCTCCCTGGCTGAGGACCTCTGGATGATCGTAACCGATGGTTAGAGACACTGAGTGATATGACTGAGGATCGTAAACAGTGACTTTCGTGGATTTTCTCAGTTTCTTTTTAACATTAGTTCACTGAAATTCTCAATTTTGTCTTCGGTTCTACTTTCAGCCTTCCTGTCTTTCTCCTGTTGTTTATCCAAATGGGCAGCCAAAAGCGGCACACCAATGTGCATCATTAATGGTTGTACAAACTGCAACTATATGAATTCTCCATCTTCTTTGCTCTGCAGAATCCAATCTACTCTCTGCTGCTTTATCCAAATCGGCGGCCAAAAGGCAGCAATCAAACCGGCGTATGAAAATACGTGGTTAATGATTGGGAAAACCCAAACAGGAAAATTTTGAAAAGTTCTGAAGAACTGAACACAATACCGTGAAATGGACAGGAAAATATGGTACAATAAATTCACCAGTTAGGATGAAAAAAAGCATATATACGAATGGCATCACATCTCGATCCACCTAGTCTAGGAAAGTGTGGAGCGGAAGAAACCAACGAGTAGGAGCGGGGAGCGGAAGTCATCTTACCGTGGATTGGTCCGAATTATAGTCTCGGTTCAGATACAGTCGAGGGACATTGGTAGCAACTCGATGAATCAGGCCACAGAATGGTAACACCTGTAACGATGTACCCATGATGATAAGCAAGTCACATGCGGAAAAGTCCTGAAATAGAGTAAAATAAACTGCAAAATTGGCCGAAGCTCACAGAAAGCAAAAGCACAATAGTTAGACAGGTGGCAGTTGTCTGTAAATCTCACGGGTTGACTATCTGCCAACACATCCTTCAGTGTCAAGCTCTTAATTTTCGTGCACTAGCGAAGTAAGAATTACCGCTATGAAACACTTGTGATCTGCAAAAGAATATTACTTTTGCCACCATCATATATATAGCGACCATTAATTTGCCCTCTTTTTAACCGAGGTAAAATTACCCCCTATCGTGATGTGTTCTTATTGTTGGTTCCGTTCTCTCACTACATTTGACTATTATTACGATTAACTGTTTCTGTCTTGTACAGCTAATAGCTCGTTGATGAGATGAATAAAACCTGTGAACAGAGCTTTTCTGTTCTCTACTTTGGCAAGCTGCTTATTTGAAGCATTATAACCTCTCCATTTCCTCAGAGTAGGGAACCATAGAAGGCCCCAGTAGCGTAAGCGTCATATTGCGCTGGCTGACAGCTTTGCTGTCAACCATCAAATACGGGTGGCGGTTATGGGGTGCGAACCTCGAACAGTGGGGCCCTAAGCACACCGGTGCCAGTGGTTTAAACTGTTCGAACCTTGCGTGGTTTGCCAGTCTTATAAAGATGGAATTGTCTGCTGTCCATTGAATGCAACTCAATTTGCTTCTTATTTTGCAAATTATACTCGATTCACTATATACCTTTGCATCCCTCCTTATTCCACAATTCACAAACCCAAATCTAGCGAGTGTTGAGTTCGTTTGCTCTCTTTTGATTTGAAAGAAAATTCGTGATTCCCGGTCTCAGTGCCGCCGCTTACAGTTGTTTGATTCACGTAAGCGTTGCATAGAGACCTTCAAAAATATTGCCCGACCACTCAAAAAGCAAAGAAATATATTTTCCAGCGGAAGACAGAATGGCTGATATCCGGTCCGATCGGTAGGAGAAAACGCTGGACCTTGGCAAAGACAACTTTTGCTCTTTCACATTTGCCCCTATCGGTAACTCTTCTCGTGTTCCCATTTCCGGGATACAGAAAAAAAAGGAAATGTATGTTTCTAATTTTATTATACTCGTTTTCTCTCATGATCCTCCGTACCTCGCACCAACGGATGTCCTGCTTTAACCCCTAGTTTCTACAACGGCAAGACATCAATAATTACCAACTTTCGATATAAATAAACTTCTCAATCCGGACAGTATCTAAACCACTGCATTTCAAATGCGCCCCCTAAGAGCACTTTGCCGTTGACTTTCTTTTTTTCTCTTACTTGGGGAACCATTGCTATCTAATTAAAAGACAACCAAATGGAATTTTCACCGTTCCTCAAAATAGCGAGGTTTCGGGTCCCAATAGCTATCGCCCCACTTCACTCATGCTGCTTATATTGGAAATCATGGGAATCTTAATTGCGGATTGGTTGCGATTGTGTACTGGATAACACAGATTGCTCCATCAGTGGTCTGCCCGCCGTTGTAGCTCATTCCTGGGTTTACCGCTCAGGATCGATAAGGAGCAATGTTAATGATATCAATCGAAATATCCAAAGGGTATGACATAATGGACTACCGACGAAACACACCAAGTTCAGTTTCTCGTTAAAACTCGTCCTACGGACTTTCAGCTATCTTTGTAACTACACGATCGCGGTCCGAGTGGATGGACCACTCACACGGTAAATTTGGGCGTTCCATAACGTTCTGTACTTTTTTATTAATAACCTTTTGCGCTCATAGTCAAACCCTATCTATACCTGTGCTTACGACGCCACCCTTGACTGCTCTTCATCTTTCCATCTTGTCGTGCCGCTATCAACGGCAAAGAAAGAGATCTTGTCACCATCAGAGGGTCTGTTAATGTTAATCTTGACTGTATAGTTACCCGATTAATCGAAAAGCAACGAGTTGTAAGTACTTGTCCTCTTCGTTTTCTTAAAACATCACCCAATATCTCGATGTCTATTTCAACTACCTGAAGGACTGGTCCTGAAAATTCATGTTCTGTTCTTGAACTTTCGCTCAGGTCTTGTATCATAGATTGATAGTATCTAAACGCTAGCCTCCCGTGTCGCACAAAGGGTTGTTCTAGAACCTGCACCAAACAAATTTTTCCTTTTTCTATTTTCTTCTGTGCAACACCCAAGTATATCTCTGCGTATAGCGGTGTGGGGTAGAACTTCGTCTTCCTCTTCATAATTCCTGAATCGAATTAAACGGAAAACAAGTTTACAGTCTCCTAGTCCATTACCAATAATTTCCTTTCTCTTCTACCAGTATTAACATGTATATTGCTTTATCAGATAGTTTTTGTTATGCTCTTGCATACCTCTTTCGAGCTCAAACCGCCAGCCACTCTTATCGATTAATCATGTCTAAATAACACACTATCGTTTTCTACGATTTCTCAAGTCCCAAGAACCGCAAGATTGGGGAACACCCTGTCTCTTTCCATTTGACAATCGACTCATAATATTCAGTTCTGTTCAGGTTTTATAACCATTAACCTTGCAAATTCAAGCGGAAGATGGAGAAATCGTATAGACTAGTGTTCAGAGAATAATGAGATGCACGAGCGCCACTGTTTGCCAGTCATAGCGCTGTGTCTCTAAACATCGGTGAACATGATCTCGGGGTCCCCAGCCAGGGAGCCTAACGGGGCCTATGTGACAGCCTCCTGGTTAGGGTTTTCATACCCTCATGCCAGGTCTTTGATTGACCGTCCTTGATCTTTCTCCAATCGCCACCTGCCTCGGCAAATATCGCACACCGTGGTAACTTATCTGGTGGCATGCGTAACACATGCCCCAACCACTGTAATCTATGGAGGTCGACCACTTGCTCCAATGGGCGATCGCGACTACCTAAAACTATACACCTCACCATTGCTCGTCCGGTTACGTCACCAGACTAGTGCAATCTGACGTAGACAGCGGTGTTTGAACAACAACAATCTACTTTTATCCTGTTCCCGCAGTGGCTAAGTCTCTGCACCGTATAGCAGAACTGGGCGAACAGATGCAGCAAATCTTCCACTCGCCCAGTTGCTTCTGCTGTTCTGCAAGGTGCAATATTTTCCTTGTTTTACTTTGTAATGTATGTTAAGCAATTCCCCATTCCTCCTGCATTCATTGGCTGTAAATACGCAGATGACGTTGTTTTAGGTTGTAAAGCATCCACTCCAGAGCAGCAATTCAAAGCAAGCTAAACGAAGTTATTACTTATCTCTTGTCCCGTTCCCTCTTATTGAATGCTTCTAAATGTCAAGATGTTGTGTTTTCCCTCTTGGACGATGTACCGTATTCAGCCCTCACAGATAGGTTCCTTACGCTCTCTGCCAATCATGAACCCGTACTGAAATCATCGATGGTAAAACACATTGGATTTANAGTGCATGTTCAAAACTTATTCTGTAAAATTAGAAGGCTTTCATATTTCTCAATCCGACTGAGAGTACTTTGTCCCCCACAAGCTGATTGTTAGATTTGTGAATGCACACGTGCTACCCCACAGGTTGTGTTGCTCCCCAGTCATTTTTCCCGGCATGTTGAAGAAGAATTTTATTTACTGGTGAGATCTATGAAACATATTTTGAAATGTGGATTTTATCATAGACAAACACTTACAAGCATGTGAACATTTCACTGTCAAAATACTCTCAGACAGTCATCACTTACTCCACAACGAATTTTCAGAATTTGTATCCACATCATCCACACGCTCAAGATTTAAACTTTTTTGCACGCACCTCTTCTTGAAACGTTTTTCTTTTTTATAAAGGCTATTGTACCATGATTTGCTTGGCACACAGTCTGGCCTCAGACAAGTGTGGAGTATATAATAATACACCTCTTCTTATGGTAATTCAGTTTTGCCATATTTAGAACGTCTACTTATTGACGAGGAGAAAATTTCCATAGAATTGCGCAATCGCTTCATTGACAAACACAGTCTACTGCTTTCAGTTTCATTATGTATGATTTTGTAAATCTGAATCCACAAATATGGTGTAAATGGTGAAAACTCACCCATCCGGGTGCATAAAGCTACTGCTGACTTGACTTGGCCCTTCACAGTCAGTCGGATGTCGCGACAGCGCCATAGATGTCTCAAATTCGCAAATGCCAACCGAGCCTTCTGTATGCGAGCAGACACTCTGTAATGCGTCCGCCAGGTGAGATATAGCTTCCCAGATAGCAAAATTTGTCTACTTCCTCTAATACTTCCCCAGTTAGGGTGAGGCTGGGTGCTGGACCAACACAACTTCGACCAGGTCTAAAGCCAGCCTGGTTCTCACGCTTGCACTCTTTATGTGCGACAGACTATCGACGGAGTATGACGCCAGCGAGAAGTTAAGAAGCAATGTCGATTAAACTAATTCCTCTGTGGTCTTTACAAGGACCCGTAACCTTACTTGTTACTCAATATGATGACCGATTCACACCATTCCATTGGAATCTGTTTCCTCTCCCACACTGAGACCAGGAGTTTTAACTGCAAAACCAAGGCAGAACTTGTAATTTTAACCCTTTCCGAAAGCAGAATTACCAGACCTATTGTCCCCTTAGTATTCTCTCCCACTTATAATATTCATTGCATACATTATGCCCCTCTCTGTTGTATCAAGTATCTGTGATAAGTAGGGAAACTGGTGTGCAGAAATAATAACTGAGAAAAATCTGAGCACATAGGGATCGCTGCCACAGAATGATTGAAAAATTAGTCGTGATTCATAGTCCATTGTAAGTCTGAAAACACAACATTGTGTGGTAGGCGGAAGTAAACTCCGCAATCACGAGAATCTACTATTCACTGATGATAACCTAGGGGTCTAAAGTGGGAAACCGTCTAAGAACCGGCTTGTATTAATTAGGTTCACAAGAGTCGAACTTCGGCTCCCAAACAAACAACAACCGGTCTAGGAAACATAAGCCACCACCCCTAATCAAAATGCTTTTTTGTTCGCCATGCATTCGAAAAAGGAACGCGACCATTCAAATTCTTACAAATTCATTCATTTGCACGTGATTACAACTTACTCGCGCATAATTGGCGTAGAATTTTCGTGGCAGATTTTCGCCAAATAGAACAACATCTGTTTGAAACAGATACATGATTGGATGCATACTGAGTGAATTGAATTCAAAATTACCTGGTTTCACAACTCCTCGACAGTTATGGACTGAACAGGTAGGGACCTCTTTGGCCAATATTCGATCTGTTTTCGGTGATAGCTTATTGATTATCTTACCTCGCATATAGTTGAAATTGTATTCCGTCTTACACTTCATACAGTGACCGGTGTTGAAGGTCCCGTGTGCCTCAATAAATTTGTCTTCCGGCAAACCACTTAGTCGCTCAAGGTTATCCACATTCTTTTTTTGAAAATTAGGGATTGTGTGAAACAAAAACGGGTATTGCCAACCTGGGTATAATGTTTTTGTAGTACATTTTTCTCGTGAAGTAATCGAATAAAATAATGAGCGAGAGTTGGCTGCATAACAAATTCCTCTCTAAGTGAATTCTATGAACTTACTTTGGCTTCAGGTCGATAGAGCCTTCGGGAAACTTCGAAAAACGCTCTCGGATCGCGCTAGAGAACACATGGTGAAAAATAGAATGAAAACATAGTTCGTATTGTTTAGAGTACAAACTTGGAAATAGTCCAATGTGAATACAGCCATCGGATAGGGGAGGTTGAATTCCTGTAGATTATCATAAACACCGCTGTTTGGTGAACGAAAATCCGGTATACCGGCAGCTAAAATTTACCGAAGATAAAAAAAGCAATCGTGCAAATAGTAATCGGGTAAACAAACGATAAAAAGGAGAGTTTTGCAGTGTCGTGATTTCTCACGACTGTTTTGAAGAATGATAAAAACGCACTAAATGAAAGACAGCAAGGGCACAGAATAAGCACACTTCGCAGAATAAACTGTGTGAAACTGAGATCTTTCTAGTATAAAGTAAAAAAAATCAGTTTAACCACTGAATCGAAATGGACGCAAATACAAGAAAATATGTTCGCGGTTAGATCCAGTTAAGAATTGTGTCGAAAACATTAATCAGGGTTTGGTTAAACAACCCAGATAGTTTTGTAGATTTGACGCCTCTATCTTCCTTGATTCATGCCTACTGCAGGGTGGAAACCCTCAAATATATTGGCTCCTCCATACTCCCGAAGGGCCAGATTAAACAAAAGACAAGCCGTATACGCTGCATTAGGTCTTTATTTACTATTCAGAAGTCGTTGTAAACACAGCGAGATTAACTTCCATCAGACCCGTGACCAATGAAGCTTAATCATTGAGAGCCAAGAATATTCGTGAATTGCGGGTTTTGAACCACTGGTGTTAGCACTATACCTTGAAGGTGCACAGGCAAGACCATGTGACCAACCGCATGATCACACCACACTGGCCGGGAACGGAAAAATGGCCACCTCTGTAGTACTGCTTCTTTCAGTAATTTTTTTATGTCTGCCTGCAACTATAAGTGAAATTTTGAGAAGCAATTATCGCATTATACCTGCGTAGAATAAAACTACAGCTCGAACGGTTCAACAGAAAAAAACGAATCGGGGTTATCGAGAAATGGAAACTAGACAACAGTTTCGGCTGATTTAGTCTCTAAATGAGATGCATGAGCAGCTGCTGTCTGAGATATAATCATAGTTGACTCGTCATAAAGGAGAAGATAAATACACAAACTATTTACCGCCCAATGCACGACCGGTTGCAGTGCTTGAGTTAATAAAACATATTCACTCATTTTGAGAAGACTGCCAAACAATTAGTGCATCCAGTCTGATCAAAGACACTGCTCCCTTATAGCAGCCTACTGCATGAGAATAATACACATACGAGAACCACGTTCGGTCTGCATCTGTATTGACCACATTCACTTTTAGACAAATATTAAAACGCGAAGACAATGTTTCGTTGGTGATACAGAAAGCTTGATCACCACCTATCAACTTAATCATCGACGGTCTCGACGTGAAGTTCATTTATTCACCAGATGTCTAGTACATGCAGTCGCAGTTCGGTGATTCGGAAGCCACATCGATTCAGTTCAGTTTAGTTTTGACATTAACTATCCATGAAATTTCGCGCGGCGTTTTTGCTTGCTGTCTCTGGACAGCCCATGGAGATGAAGGAGTAAAGGGAAGATTGGAGTGTTCAAATCAATCAAGGTGAAAATAGAGAATTTAAGAAGACTAAGGCTGAAAGGATACTGAGTAGAAGCACCAGTGACACTGTCTACGACACTGCCATATAATTATCGGTTGCAACGATCCTGATTTATCCATCCAAGAAGACTAGCGCGTAACTATCAAGGCCATTGCACTTCACTTCACACAGAGACACTAACGAAAGTGTTTTAACCTATGTATTCCCTGGTCTTAGTAACTTGCACTGGTATGATAATAAATTTTGAAAATAATTGTTCATCCATGTAGCATTCTTGAAAGGATTTCGGGCATTTTTCACACACAAGATGATGTAAAGAACGAATATTCTAACCCTGTACCCGTGGAACTTCAGTCATCAGAGATGAGATAACTGCCCCGGTACTAAGCCAGCTAAAATTGAAGTACTCTACCCAACGATCAAGTCACTGCCCTTAATCACGAATAAGCTGTCCAATTTGACCACAGGTTGCTTCTCTACCAGATAGGAACATTCAGTGCTTTGCGCAGAAGAGTAGTTATCGATAACCGTTATCTATCCGCCGAAAATACAAAGCATCACGAACGCCCAATAAGGTTTCTGATTCACTCAGTTGCTTAAATCGTACACAATGGAACTGAGACGAAAAACAGGAGTTTACGAAGATATCCTATCAATTTGGTGAACAAACATTTTGGAAAAAACACAAGTCATAGAGGTGAGGCATGATATTATAAACGTGAAGTACTTGTATTCTGTAGACCTACCCGTGGAAATACCAGCACCGACCATGGTAACGATACGCTTTACTTGGCCAGAACTGATAAGCTTCGCAATCCCTGAGGGAAAACAATAAATCCACTAACTCAAAAACGCAGCAAACCTTCCAAGTCCAGTGACTCCAGTCGAGAGTGTCGTCTGAACCGATCCATGAAAATCAGTTGACTAGGATTACCTATGGGAAAATATGTGAGAATAATACGAAGAATGAATGCTATTTTGCATGTTTTGTCTACGTTCTAAAAAAGTTGCCCTATGAGACAGATTAAAAATTTAGATATCCTACTGAGACACTGTTTAAAAGAAAGGCGTTCTTCCGTGAAGGATCCAGGGACATTCAACCGGTCCTGGGACCGCACAACATTATCCCCAAGGACGCACAATGATGATGGGATACAAATCTGACTTTCACTAACTACTCCACCGGTTGTCGTTTTCCAGGAGCGGTTTACATGTTTAAGGTGTTTTAAACGTAGCAGAATTTATGCAGAGAAGTATCAAGCCGACAACCTATGAATCGATGAATAAAGCGCATCAGAACAACGGTATTTCCCGCAGTAATCCAGGCTTCTCTCATATGATAAGCACAAATACAGGCTCCAGCAATGAGGCTATGCTTTTTATCCGACCAAAAAGATTCTAAAGTCAGAAGGTCATTGCTAAAGAGACACAGACAAAGAGCACTGGAAAAGATTTGTGAACCGCAAAGAATGCGGAGCAGAACAAGCCGGACTAAAAATTGAGCCAGTGCATCTGCATCCGCTCAGGTGTATATATCAAGAACAGGGGAGAAAAAGAATGAGAGTATTATTCGAGCGCTCACTGCCGAGTCAGTGGTCAAGGCTGAAGAACCTTAAATGAAAGCTGAATAACCATGGGAAACACCGACACATGATCTGGCTCAACAATGCTCACGTCAACACGTAAGCAATTACATAGAACTGGCAAATGTGCCACAACGTGTATAGAAAAAACAATCAGCAGAATATGTTCACATGTTGTGTGGGCGTGTTATTTCCCGGTCGCCCTGCAGTTTCTGTTTTTACAAACCTTAATCATGCACTTTCGTGCGCCGGTTTTGGTTGCTGTCTTTTGGTGCCCCATTGGGATGAAGGAGCAGAATGAAAATTGGAATGTTGAGAGCAAATTCAAGCGGAAGATGGAAAATTCGTATAGAATGGTGTTAGGATAATAATGAGTGGATGCACGAGCGCCACTGTTTGCGACACCCAGCCATATCACTCAGTGTCTCTAAACATCGGTGACCATCAGCCCGAGGTCCCCAGACAGTGAGCCTAATGGGCCTATGTGACCCAGTCTCCTGATTAGGGTTTTCATACCCCCGTGCCAGGTCCTAGCTTGACTACCCTTGAATTTCTTTCAACCGCTATCTGCCTCGGCGAACATCGCTCGCTGTGGCAGCCTATATGGTGACATGCGCAACACATGCCCCAACCACCGTAATCTATGGAAGTCGGTCACCCTGCCCGGGGGAGGGAGATGACCTCGGAGTTCCCAAACGAAGCCTTCTCCTATAAAATCAGAAGGATGGAGCTTAGAGTTTGCAGTCCATTGGGGACCGCTGTCCAGTACATCGGATCATACGCCTTTTGGACGGAGTCCAACGTCCAAGGAGTCCATTACAACTGACCACTACCCAAACTCGGAAGCCGTGTGCGTGGTTCGTAAGCCTCTTCTTGGTTTGAAATCAGGGTTGTTCGACAACTCCACAGTGATTAGTCTACTTGGTTGCTGCCCCGGATTCTGGCTTTTCGTCCTCGCTGTGATGGAAAAACACCACCTAGAGAAGGCAGTGAATAGGGCTCAAATAGCAGAAGCCGTTTGAGATGCTTGATTGTATAGGAGCATTTAATGAGATGTAGAAGAAGGTTGATCAGTCACAATCAGACACGCAGCCCGACCACATTGAGGCTTTCCACCTGACTGAACACATGTGGACCTAATGTACCCACAACTTCGTGCTAAGCCACGCAAACGGTGGCTTAAAGCCCATAATGTGCCGGGGCTAGGAGTCAATTGCTAGTCAAGCGTAGGCAAATCTGCATTCTGATCAAGTGTTCCAGGCACTTGCAGAGTGTTGACGTTATACTGACGAGCCTATAGTTTTCCGCTCGATGCTTTGGCCCATTTTTCAGCAGTGCCACTAGTGTAGCTGCCGGCATCATCATCATCGTACAGCGAAATACAGTGAGGCGAACTTCACTAATCGCTGCCGAACTCGCAATACATACAAGGTTAGTGGTAAAATTTAAGGTGGACAGGGATTGGACCTATTTTAAGGGACGGGGAAGAAGGTGAACCTCTATGGTCAACACAGGGTACATAATCGAACTCTGCATACAAACGGTTTCAAGCATTCTGACCTGATAAGCAACCGCAACGCGAACGCCACTGCTGTCGGTTCGCTGCCATATCCTTTAACGTCTCCAACCAACCAGTTTTAGAGTCTTTCGGACCCCAACCTGGAAGGTGAGAGACACCTACTCTACCCAATGGTTCTGTGCATTTCTTCATGCCTCGTCTCCACGTCATCTGTTGACTTCCACGTGGTTTTCTCCGGACTGGATTAGCTACAGCGAATAAAGCGCGATGCGGCAGACGACAGCTGGGCATACGCAATACGTGCCCTAGCCAGCGAAGTCTACTAATCTGAATTCGGTTTGCCAGCAGGTCTATACTTGATAGACTCAGAAACACACGACGGCTTACGTCCACGTTACTAACCCGTTCGCTCCATCCAACATGGGCTAAATTAAGTAAACACCAACAATCGAAAACTTCCAGTTGACGGATATCTTCTACTCGCAAATTCAGGGTCTCACAACCATAAAGCAAGACTGAACGAACGCTAGCACAATATACACGACCTTTCAGCTTCAGTGAAACGTGGCGTCTACGCCGAAGGTGTTTCAGTTCTGCGTATGCTGCTCGAGCCTTGGAAATGCGGGCGATTATCTCCTTTGCTGCACTACCGTCATTGGTCACGTAACGACCTGAATAGGAAAAGCAATCCACCATAAATAGATCCAGGCCATTTAGTTTCAGAGCGGGAGTAGACGAAACCCAGTCCTGCAGCGTCACTTTGCACTTTGAAGATGCAAAGCACATACCGAATGTGGCTACTGCACTTGTTAATCTATCAAGTGAGTTTGCGCGTCCTCCATACATTCGAACAGACAGACGATGTCATCGGCGTACTCTAAATCGCACAGCTTCTCCCCAGTTTTCCATCCAATTCCTACGCTTTGGAGTCCCCTTAGTGCGTTCTCCGGTGACTCGCCCCAAGCTGAAGTAATGTGTTCAGATGCGTTCAAATGTTGCACAGTAGGGTAGTAATAGAGCTTACGAGGTTATCACCCCCATCTTGGAGAGTGGGAGGGAGCTCATCTGATCCTGCTGCCTTGCCTCGCTTTAGAGCTTGAGTACAAGACCGAACTTCCACTTCTGCTGGAGGATCGCATAACACCGCCCACGGGGCTTCAGTCGCAGTTGAAGCATCCTGGTTAGCGGCAGGCCAGCTGAACCGTTCGCTGAAGTATTCTGCCCAGCGATCAAGCCGTTGATCCCTATTGTGAATAGCTTGTCCACTTTTGTCGCAGATTGTTTCACTAACTGAAGTTCACCGACCTCCCGTATTGCGTATCATTTGGAACAGTCTTTTACTATTCCCCGATGCAGCTGCTACTTCCATTTCACTAGCTATTGTTACCCACCAGTCGTCATGGTCCTTCTTAAGGTTCTTCGTGAGCTGGCGTTGTAGATGTCACTTTACTTTATTTCGATCCTGGCAGGTCGGGATTTGTCGTTTTTTCTCCATCAATACTACTGACTCCTGAGATATCCAATGCCTCCAACGGGTTTGAGGCTCAGACCCACAAGCAACATCATCATCATCAACGAAGTGCAAAGACTTCTCCCACCGTCGAGAGGAAGCCCCAGGTACCCCGCTCCGACGTCCATCTAGCAGGGGTTTTTCTACCGGTAAACTGCTCGCCGTGTTTATTTGCTGGAGTGGCCTCTCCAGGGCCGCGTGTGGATAGATGAAGGAAACCAGGAGGTGCCCAAGCTGCTGGCCTTGTTAGGCTGAGCTTCGTCTGGCCTCTTCCCGTTGACTTTCCAGACATGATTGGGTCTACGGCTGTGTAGCTCGCAGGGTCATTGAGGCACGCAAGCCATCACACCACGTGAAGGCGCGGTCTCGTCGTGATGGAATAGAACGAAAGGTGAGGCAGCGTTTATCTCCCCGGTCGGAAACTTGAGGGCTGACGTGGTCAATAGTCGGAGATACTCAGCGATTTGGTAGCTCCGTAAAGAAGTGTGTCTCCGCAGACCTAGTTTACTCGTATTCTCAAAATCTATTTTAGCGCTATTTCTAGCTTTAAGTGTCAAGTTGTGTCCAAACAAAACCAGTTCACAACAGGTGCAAACTGAACAGAAATAACGTTCGCTGCAAGTGCAAAGACTGTTTCACACAGTCATAACCAGACCGGTATGGTAATAAAAAATCACAAATTGTTCAGGGTTGTAACTCGAGGATAGTCTTTGGAATACAAATTCTGCTTCCGTCCGAGAAAACTCATGAGTGAATGTTACTTGAGCAGTTGCTAACCCTGGATCATCTTGGTAATGGCATTCGAGGTGATTGAATGAAACAAGGTGCGTCGAGAAGTATCTCAAATTTTCATAAATTTGTTCCATCATACTACTGTAGCGAAGCTTCTTTCTCCTAACTGAGGTACGTGCTGATGTTTTGCTTAACTGTTCAAAGAAAGATTAGCAAAGAACCTGGTAACCCTTGCAGAAGTGGTTGCCCTATGCTCAGCAAAAACAGTGCATGGCCTTCCTCACCATTCGTTTGATGAATTCAGTCGTGGTTTTCACTTTGTTTGTCTTGTATGTTTGATTTTCTCGAGCAAATTAGATGCAAAGTTGACTGTGCGTGTCTCTCGGTCTTTACTACGGTCTTCATCTAGAATAGCGAGCTGAATGTCACTGTATCTTGTGTTGATCAATTTTTACTGACCTAATGTTTTATGTTAACGAAAAAGCGGTAAACCTTGAGACTTGTATGAAGTTTGAAACAGCACCCTTGCGTCCATGTAGTTCATTTGTAAAGCTTTTCACCTCCGATACAGACAATGAATTCTTGTAGAAAAAACCAGTACCTGCAAGTGATAAGAAAATATCCAATTAGTTTCCGCGTTCTGAGTTGCTGTAGACGTTCATTTCAACTGTTCCTCTTTCGTTTGTGATCCAGGTGTAAAAAGTTTAATGTCCCAATCGAGAAGGTGTACAATAGAACTCAGCGTGAGAAGTTCCAATGGGCAATTGACATGGCTACGGACACTTACAAATTCCTTGATCGAGAGTCTGATCGAAGCACAAATCAGCTGAAAGCAGAGGAAAGTGGAGATGAAGGTGATATGGTAGACGATGAGGACTAAGCGTTGTCATCAAATCGGCAGATTCTGCCGGTCCTTTTTCGTCATGCAAGCGTCTCGGTTTCCACTGGATGCATCTGCAAGCAAACACAGCTCGTCTCCGCCCGTTGGTCTCCGGTAGACTCTGTGACTGTTAATTTTCGTCAGCTTTTCTGTCTCTCCATGTGTTCCTAGCTCTTTCGTGTTGTGTAAGTGTCTAAATGCGTGGGTACAGACAGCATGCATGCACTCCTGTGTACTTGAAACTGTATACCGTAGTCCTATAGCATGTTCATGCGCTCACCCGCGCGGAGCTTCACGCACATATTGTCCACAATATTGTCCATTTTCTGCTGACTTATTATCCTTTCACGCTCTTTAATTCCTTCCCATTCCTCGAGGTCCCCCTTGCTCACTTTCTTCCGAGTCTGCATTATATTTGCCTTTCAGGCGGTTTGATTGACCTGATCTAACTGTACATGTGCGTACTTGTCTGTAGGCAGTACTTTCATCGTTTTGTTTTTGCACTTGTTACCACCACTATTTTCTTGCAAATGCGCCACCACTGCCCATACGAATGATGGTAAGTACCGGATTCCTGGCACCCACATGCGGACCCCATTTATTCAGTCCCTCACCACGGTAGTCATAATACTCGAGCGATTTGCACCGCCTTCATTATTGTCCATTTTAAGCTGCATGTAACTACCGTTTCACGTGCGCTTAAAGAGACCCTCGGTCCTTCTTATTCTCAACTTACATCTTACTCCTCCCGCTCTCTGACATCGAGCTCAAGGTGGTATATCGTGAAGGCTGTGGCTTGTGGCAGGCAGCTAAACCGAAGGAACAATGACAAGTTTTCCGACCGCCTGCGGACAACATTCTGTTCTCGCCCATTCTACTTTTCATTCATGCTCCCGGCCAGTGTCTCATTTTGTTTTGGCACATTCTCGCGATCAGATGCGTCTTTTGAAGCTCCCATTCTCCACATTGTCAATCGCTCTTGTCCTCGCGCTCTTTTTCATCACCCCTACACTGTATCCATTTCATCTGTAACAACGCAGGTGTCTTAGGAGCTTATTCTAATTTTCGGTAGTGAGTGGTGTGTCGGTTCCTATTTCCGATGCTAACAAGGGCAAATATTGATACAACTGTCTCTGTCCACAAGTGTATTTATGTGAATGTGCGTGTGTGCGCATTGAGTCAGCGCACCCACCCTCAAGGTCGTGCATTACTTTTTTCCACTCCATACTTTCTATGTCAATGGGTCTTGTTTGTAATTATACTGATTCATACTATCCCGTAACGTCTAAAGACGAACTTTTCTGACCGTGGCATTGATGCTCTAGCTTACTGGGCTAAAACATCAGTAGTTGACCCGTGATTCAGAGTGATGCGGAGAATTCTAGTCTCGTGATCAGTGTCTCAACGCTTAAATGTAACAATATATCACGTTTGCGGAGTAGCAAAGCTATAACAACAAACCACTTCGATGCATATCCTAATTTGCCCAGCAGTACTAAGCGATTTAAATACTCTGGTATGCACTCGTTCTGGTGTAACCGATCGATGACTATATAGGAAAAGATCCGCTGCGTAAGCGAATGACGCATGACAATCCAACAAAAACAATTGTAGATTAATAAAAAGCTCAACTAGAACGGCAAACAGGATTTCTACTGACACGACTTAAAGAATGATTTCGAAGTAGAGCAGTTTCTATTGAACTGTCTCGTCCACTGTAGCTTAGCTCAGGGTAGGCCACTATGGAGAAAATCTACACCAAGGAAGCGATCCATGTGTAGGCAAAATTCATTGGCACACGGATGTGCGCCGTATTGTGCACTGACGATGTACGACCACTCGCTGGTAGCCTGGCGACGGCATGAAACTTGGGATTATGCATGTTGGAGCCCGAGCCGTCAAGATCGCGGTAGATGTGCCTTGAAGCCGATTCCCAACAATGGCGAAACAGCTGTACAGAGCTTTCATGGTTCGGAATAAGTCAATATTTCGCATTCCATTGCAAGAGAAAAAATATAGAGGGAGTGAGGTAGGTGGGAGCTAAGAGAGCCAGAAGTTCACAAGGGGAGACAGTCAAAATATGAGTGAGAAGAGATGTAATGATAATGAAAGAATACTGACAGATGAACGTTTTTTGAGGTTATGGATGTAGTATTAAAGAAACGCTGACCGTCAGACCGGGGTCAACAGTTCAAGGTCACTATAGACAAGAGGCGAAAATAAGAACCAGGAGTGGAAAATGGCAGAGTTGAAATCACGGAGAAGTATCGAATTGAGATGATGCGGTGAAGTTAATTCAGGTTCACGGGTAAACCCGAGCATGGGCATTTTGACCACTTTTATCTGGGATTGTCGGGAAACGAGCAAAATGTGTAGTCAGCTCCAGCCAAATGAAGCAGACTAGTGGCGGTAAACCGTCGGTTGAAAACCAGGTCAGAAAACACAACCGCGCACCAGTGGTTTGCGTTCTAGATGTGGACAAAATTATCCTACACATTATTTTGAGCATGGAATATCTAAGAATACATGAACATAGTTGTGTTGATTTGGGGGGAAAATTTCGCCACCATAAAAATTCTAAACTGTTCTCCACTGGATAAGTTGCAAAGGAAAAGAAAAGAGTTGGGCGAAAACTATACTCCTTTAAGGGCACGGATGCAGTTTACTCTACTCTCCTGAATATCTGAAAACAGAAGAGTTGCGTGGAAGCGTGCAGTAGCAATTCATCTTTGAGGTGACTGGATTTTGCCGGAGGTGACCTAAATATGAAGATTGGAAACGTAGCAAAAGAAGCAACGTGAAGGCGTCGACAGCCCTGATAGCATCTGTGCAACAAAACGGACAGAAAGCTGGAGCAAGTGATCCAGACCACCGTTGCCTATTATAATGCACACATGTAGAGAGGCAGAGCAGTCTTGAGCAATTTTGTCACTGTCAACACAGCATCTTGGCGATATGAACAAAGAAATATAAACGGGTAAAGGTGTGCAATATCATAAACGTGCCTTCATAAATTAATCAGTCGATTCAAGTAGCAGACTACGTCGAACAGTTCCGCATTATATCCATGGCTTGCCATGTCAACCGTGAGCTATTCTAGAGTTGATAAAACCGAGTCTTGCAAGGCATTTTACACAATGGAACTGGAGAACAGGCATTTGTTATGTCGCCACATTATTTCCGTCTGCGATTCTAATAGCTCACGAGAAGCCTATCAAAGGGACAACCCGAGGATCGCGTTGGAGTCCTCTGCTGTATGTACAGTGCGTTGTAGCGGTTTGATCACATTCGTATTCTTGATCTGATTGCTGATAAAAATAACGCTAGCTATTATTTGTTTTTCGTAAACGATGACATCTACGAAGTTTGGCTGACTAGTAATTACCCTCGAATGGCCAGTTTACGACATCGATGTTTTCCAAACAGGAATTCCAAGGCCATTTATCCTTGAATAACAGCGATATGAAGCTATTGTCATCAGGCTTGCGTTGCATTTAATTTGAAGACAAATACGAACTTGATTTTTTATGACTAATCTGACCACAGTGATTGGGAAAGCACGGTCTAATCGTGCCTAATAACGCAGACTCATATTCACTATCTGTATTTGATGCGGTATTCCAGTTCCAGTTTGAACAATCACCGCACTACCGTGTGCCGGTTTTGGTTGCTGTCTTTTGAATGAACAGTAGGAGAAAGCCAGGAAAGTCGAAGAGAAAAAGGAGGATTTCAGTGGAATAAGGTTGAAAAAAAAGTGAGATGCACGAACGCCATTGTTCACGACACAGTCATGTCACACGGTATCTCTAACCACCTGTTTCCATGATCTTGGGGTCCCCATCCAGGGAACTTGAAGTTGCCTATGTGACCCAGTGTCCTGGTTATGGTTTTCAGACCCTAATTCGAGGTCTTAGCTTGACCACCCTTGACCTTTTTCCATCTGATGTCTGCCTCGGCAAACATCGTGCGCCATGGCAACCTATTTGGTGACACGCAATACATATCCTAAACACCTTAGTCTATGGAGATCGAACATTTGCTCCACCGGGCGATGATGGTCACCTAAACTCGGCGCCTAACCTCAGTATTTCTCGTACGGTTGCGGTATTTAGCCAGGGATTTGTTGCTTCATAGCAAGGCCAAGATCATTTAGTTACGTTAGATGAAATTCGTGCATTCCTTACAAGTTGAATTAAAAGGAAGATACCAACAATGGTCACATCATTTTTCGGTTGCATGTTTCACTTCGTGATATTGCGTTTGATTTGCTGAATGATGTAGTCTGTCATCACTGTGCACAAGCCCGGCCATACAAATCAGTATCAATTTCGATAATTCCGGAAAGTTTTGGTCGCAAATTGGGACATTCGTTATTTTGATTTCACCTCATCCTGGGAAACAAAACTGAATTTTAATGTCCATACGCTAAAAGCAAGCAGTTGGATATACTAAATTAGTTTCCGAAATAACACCATCCATTGGGACCGGTTTAGTCCCAACATTACACTGAGCGAGACGCTGAAGATTTTGATAAAAATTACGATGTATCGAAACGCATTGAATATGACTAAGCGCACTGTCAGCGAAACCGTTGATAATAGATTTGGTCACGAAATTGGTTTTTCCAGTGCATAAGAGCTTAGTGGTTTAGTTCTGTTCTATTTCCGCGGTTACTTCTTATTGTGCTCTGACGTTTAAAACTCCTTCACAGTATCGACTAAATTAACTGCAACTTTACTGTCAAGTCAGTGGTAGCCTTTTGCAATTTTCTCACTTACAGCGCCCATTTCACGAGTCAATTTTTCCGCTTTATTTTACCGGAGAGTACCATTATTTTTCATCAATAATTTGCGACTGGTTCATCTGGTGAATTCTCTCTTATTTCGCATCAGTCACTAAGATCTCTAGCCATAGAGAGAAAGGGAGTGTATCAATGGACAAGTTGACCGCTTAAATTCAACTTGTTATTTATGTCCAGTTCACGCTTTGTTGTTTCATTCTCGCAGCTGGGGGAAAGCTATCAGTGCTACTGAACGTGTCATGGGTGTGTTAATTGTGATTTGGGACCAGATGTCAATGACAGTAATCGGGGATGTCGCTCCACGTAATTTGTGTATCCTTTGGATCTGTGGTGCATACCTAATAATTGGTGGGGAACTTGATTGCTCGGTTTAGTGCGCTGTGAATTCAATTGTCTTGTGCTAGATAGCAGCAGATACGTTAGAAAGTCTTTTCGGGAGTTGTGCTCATTTTGTGTCTATTGTGAGCGTTACCGTGCCGAACAACTATCTACCCTTTTTATTTCCTTTTATGGAAACAAAACACTTTGATACAAATCTCCGGAAGGGGGAAGCGACCAATCAAACGGTTGCTGTACAACACACAGTGAGAAAAGTCAGGCTGCGGTGGTGGAATTCCAACACAGCCTACGGGGTGATAATCTGGTGACGTTACCATCCGGTCAGCATCCCTGGTATATCCTAATCCCAATCGCACAACTAAATCAGTGATCACATGTAGTTCACTCATTCTAATTTTCATAAGAGTAGCAGTCACTGCCGCGTTCGGAGCGTGCGATTCGTTGGGTTGCTCTTATCGAAGTGAATTCAACCAGTATGACAGTTACCGTTACACGAACGTCGGTCATCCCGCAGCTACTCGGTCAGCCCCTAGCTTCTACCTGAACCCATTTGTCCCAGTCAGAATCGATTCCGTTTATAGAAAATGCTGCATTTTTTTATAGTCGAAGCAGCCGGTTTTCTCTACAGGATATTGCGACGCATGTATATCGAAAACTCAGACCTGACGCGTTCAGCCAAACCAAATTACCTTTGACACCGTCCGTTGGGTCCATCTTGAAAGGACTGAAAAAAGAACTGTTTTTCATGAGCAGCGAAAGGTAAAAACAAAGCGGTCGGTTTTGCACACCAGATACATACCGATAGGGAAGGTGTGTGAATGGGTCTGTGGGTTGTGTTCATGGTTCGCCATCTGATACAGTTTCATCGGTTAAAAGTGCAAATGAAATTTATACTTAGTCGTGCATTTTTCTAGCACAAGGCCAATCAGGCTGAACTGAACGACCGTCGTCCAACGAACCTGTGGGTAAACGCATGCCATGACTCGTGTGGTTCGTAAGTCCTGTTAACTGGACTGTGAAGACTGCTCAATCAACGCGTGATGTAAGCGAGGGAACAAACTGCACACCGTATGCTTCACGTGCACTTTACAATCGCTTTCCAATATCTGTCTTCATCATCCTTTTGGTAGCAAAGCCACGGTTGGATTACAGCTTAGTTGTCTGTGCTCCATTTGTTTTAGTTTTACATGGTCGAAACCTAAGCATCTGGGTCGCGGCAGCTGAAGCGCTTTGCTAACTGAAATGTGAGAACTAATTGACAGATTTGTTTCCGTTATCCGACCAAGATGTCGATCGGCGCACATTGCCCTAGTTGCGACACCGATATTGCTGACCTGGTCGCATCAGCAAAAGGAGTGCATGTTCTTGATGCCAGAGTTTCATTGGTCAATCATGAGCATTAACCTAGTCAAACGGCCCTCAAAAAGGAATTTCCAAAATTTGCAGACTATTTTCGGTTGAAAGTAGGCAGTTTGTTATACCATATCAATTAAGGTGTTTTCTACTGTTAATAGAATGAGTTGAAGCGAAAAAAACAGTATGCTTACGTAGTCAATCTGTTGCTATGTTGCATACCTTGGGGATGCGAAAAATGAAGCAGACAGAGATTACGATGATTTTCATATCCTCATGCCGGTCTTGGTTTGACCAAATTTGGCCTCCTGCAAACTGTCAGTTACTCCAGTAAGCATTGCTTACCACAGAAACTGCGATAGTGTGACCGCAACTATTCAATACTCTGCACTGAAACTCAAAAATTGTCCGGTTGCTTCACTAGATCTGTCAAACAGCGTTGGCAGCGATGTTCGAGCATCAATAATATTCGTTTATCGTCCTCTGGGAATAGCCAACACTCTGCACCAGCCAAAATGCTGCAGCATACATTCAATTCCACAGACTGCCGGATCTCGCGGTGGCATCTAATGTTTTTCACGTTGGAAAACACCAACCGAACCCTCTGTATGTGCCAAGGTTGATTTGAGTTTTTTTGCCAAGGGAGATGTAGTTTCCAAATTACCAAAATCGCTTACTTTCCTATTTTTTGCGCAGTTACAGTGAGGTTCAGAGCTCAACCAACACAACCATACAGCAACGTTTTACTCTTAAGAGGTGCAAAACACATGTTGAGCTAACATTTCGACCATTCAGAAAGCTCACAACTAACTTCGATTGCCGCTGCAACATCATCGACGTAGATCAGACCCGACAACCTTTCGTGACGGAGAATATTGATGCTACTTTTTTCGCTCGAGGACAGGGCGGTTTCCGGGATTATATCAGTCACAAATAAAAATAGAAAAGGAGAGGGTAACCCTGACAAACATTTCTGGCTGTGATGAACTCGGGTGCAGAATATCCAAAATCTCGAAAGTGGCTTCAGATGATGGTATATAGGGATTGCCATAGAGAAATAAAGTCTAGCGAGCGACGGAACAAAGAGAGACAGCGGACAATGCGGTCGACTCAGTCAAAAGAGCATTGAAATCAAGGGAGGTAGAAATGGTGTCTATGGATTGAATGGAAGACTGAGCCACCATTCTTAAAAGTGAATAAAAACCACTTACCCAAATCAAAGATGCTTTACTTTCCAAGAAAACTTACTTCCCGAGTAACCTCTGTTTAAGAAAGAGGACTGTCCTTAACTAGTAGCAGTCGCTCACCAGAGACAACCTTTGTCAGATGCAACGTCAACGAACGATAATTCATCTGAGCATTAAAATGTTCTGCTCCGGATGGTATAGATGAGTGTGAACCTGTGGACTACCTCCGAAAATTGGCAACCCTTAGCCAACAAGGTACAGTCCCGACCATGTTGTCTGTCACGTTAGGTGTTTAAGGTTAAGGGCCAATCAGGGAACCGACAGTGAGACGCAAAACCGAAATCTGATGACCTCAAGCGGGTGCTTCGGTCACGTCCCCCCCCTCCCTTGTGGAAGGTACGTCTCATTTGTACTGTGGGTTAGATCTACGAGTAACAAGCTCCGGTTGAGGTTCCCGAAAAAAAACTCCGTCGGTGTAAGCAGACGCGAAGTGCACGTTTTTTGAGTCCCAGGCATTCACTTGGAAAGAATTCTTTCTCCTTAGTGAAAATTTGGTTTGGAAGTACCCATTTATTCCTATGAAGACAGGTATGCAAAGGATGGGGAGAGCAATGACTAAGAGTACGACTCCACTGCACATTTCCTGGTGGTATGGTTTTGAATATTACCGATTTGGTAAATCAAGTTCACCTCAAACATAGGTAAGTTAATCNAAGTTAATCGAAACTGAGGAGAAATCATATCCTAGTCGAGTTAAACAGTCGCCAAAAACATTGTTCATCTTTGCTCTCTCTGGAGCCAATATTTCACGGGCCTCCACCACGTTAATATTATGTATCTGGTCATGATGAGAAGAAGTATCAGTAGATCACTGTGGTTAAATCATCAAAGTGACATTTGGTGGCGACAAATACGGTCAGTGCCTTTGACAGGTAGCAGCATCTTAGCATGCTCCGTAATGAGGACAACGATGAAGTGTTTTATTTATTATATTGGGTTAGAAAAATAAGTTAAAAGCAAAGAAAGCACATTGACAAACGTGTCAGGCGAGGAGTTCCCTCGTTTGATTGCACCGGAAAAATCACAGAGCAGGAAAACTTGCACTCAATCGGAGTGGGATTGCTGCGAGGAGCTAGACGCCACTTTCCCACTGGCCACTAAATCGGCGTCCGTGGACTGTTTCAGTGATACCAGATCGTCCTGAAATGGAAATAAAAGAGAAAACGTTAGGGATGAGGAAGAGGCGTTGGTAAAGAGCGATCAACAAAGGTACTATCATCATCCTGAAGGAACCAAAGTGAAAAGTCAGAGGACTCGTTTCCCCATCCGTGCATGTTTATAGTTAGCACCACCTAATAAAATACAGTACTCAGATACAGTGTCTTGTAAAGAATGGTGAAGAATCCTTTTGAATTTTGACAAAGGTGGTTTTAGTACACCATTCCTCCTAGTATTTCAGTAGTCCTAAAGACCATCGTGCATGGTAGAGCTCTGTTGAGAAAACACCCATTTCAAGAGGAACGGTAAAGTAAAGACTCATGCAGTTAAATATTTTTTAATTGAATGAGTAGTTGCAGTATATATTTTAGAACAACGAAAAAAGTATGCGACCGCATCGGGATTAGACCACACCTACTGATGATTCACACGGTGTAACCATCACCACTACTCATACCATATGCAGAGAACGCGGATACTTTCCCATGGAGGTTCTTCCCCAGAGTGAAGGTTTTTGTAGTGCGTTTAGATGAACGTATTTAAAGAACTATTGAATCAACAAATACACAAAGTAGACAACATACTTTCCAGCCGAGTAGTTCAGCAAATCGTATAACGGACTGGTCACAATCGCCTGCAACAAATACATCGCGTGTGTTCCCCGGTTGGCCCCATTGCAGTTCCCGTCGGCGCAGACCGGCCACCATGAAACGCATCAGGAATGAGAAGAAACCCTGAAAACCGGAATAAATGTACCAAGAAAAGTCAAAAATCCTCAGCGATTTTTGTAACACTGCTGACAGAAATTCTATCAAATTAAACAGTAAATTAATGATAACTCAGAATTTCAAAGTTTGAAATGGGGTTCAAAAGATCAAATTGCTCGAGTGGAGTATTTCCCAAGGACAGCGGTTCACTGATTCTCGTCCAGGCTATTCGAGTCATGTAGGCACGTCTCACATTCAGATGGAAAGATGACACCTTTTCTTCGATTTTGCGCGAAACTATAAGCAAATTTTCACAACGTCTAGTATTGCTTCTTGTCCAATAACACTGAAAATACGATAAATGGTCAAGAAGTTTACCGTCGCATACGAAGAAATGAAAGGTTAAGCTGGAATTACAGTTGGGAGATGTAGTGAGGAATTAGAATACGAATAGGGAAAGATTTAAGATATTACCGATTAGCAACTACCACTGATAGAGGCTTAGACATCATCATCATCGTCAAGCGAAATACGGTAGTAACCTTCACTGATAGCTGCGAAGCTCACCATACAGACAGAGAAAGTTAGACTGTGTACGTTGGACAGGGATTGTGCGAATTTTCCAGCAGGTGGAATGAAAACGAACCTCCATAGTGAAAACAGAGTGCACAATCGAACTGTGCAGATACATTTTTTCAAACATTCTGGCCTGATAAGAAATGATGACAAGAACACCACTGTTGCCGATTCGCAACCGTCTCGTTCGGTGCTAATCCATCAGTTATGGAATCTTCCGGACCCCATCTTGGATAAGAAAAGACAATCTCGCTAAATGCGCTACGTATTTGTTTATACCTCATCTCCAGTCATCTGTTGACCTCCACGTGATTTTCTCCGATCTGGAACGGCAAAAGCGAATAAGGCACAGTGCGGCGGACGACGGCTGGGCATGCGCAATAGCTGTTCTAACTAACGAATTACACTAATCTGAATTCGATGTGATAATGAATTCAATTCAGTTTGAATAACCATTACCGCCGCGTTTCTTACCCATTCGTTCCATCCAACCTGCGTCAGCAGCCGAAGATCCTTAGGCGATGAGTGTCTTCAGGCACAAGATTAAGGTATAGTAACTGTAAAGCCGAAAAGGTCGTATAAGAGACCTTTAGATTTCAAAGAAGCGTCACGTGGACGCCGTGGCTAGAACCTTTGAAACCTTCCATCTAGATGTATGCTGTGTCTCCGGAACACGCATACAAGACCCTACCTCAATCATCTCGGTTCGTAGGCAATGAACTGTCTACGGATAGCACAGTTGAGTCCTACCGAGCGCGTCTACGGGTCGCGGATAGGAGAACGGCCAGCTTGGTCGTTAATCGTGAATAGGTGGGGCTACCACAATGAATAATCGGTCGCGGACGATCAGCGGCGATGCTAGAGGACGTGGTGGGGTTTTCTGCTGGTAACCGATATCCCGTTCAAATACCATAAGAGTCTGCTGACAGCATCGCGACGTGTGCGAATGTGGCCCGTCACTAAAGAAGGTCTATGCTACTTGCTTACTCTCACGAGTAGGACAAACTCTGAGGAATGCTAACTCACGGACACGTTGGGAATCCCGGACTGGCGCAGAGCCATCCGAAAGGCGTATGAACCGTTCTAACGGTATCCGGCTACCAAGAATTCTACCCTGTTACCCTGCAGGTCGCAACTGGCTGTGAAAGGGTTAGAAGTGCAAAAGCCGTGAGATGCTGGAGACGTCACTTAGTACCTCATTCCCGAGTTCCTTCATGGATCGTCTTACAATGGTACATCACGTTCATGTTACGGCGTTCCCGGGGAGCGACGCGCCCCGAACTCTCCCAGTGGCTGGGGTGACAAATGAGCAAGCTGGGAACCTAAACCTAAACCATCTATGCACCAGATCCAGCATCCATGTAGCCTGATGGAATGTTAGAACATTGCTAGACACAGGAAACCAGTGTATCACGATGCGATCACTGCACGACTACAAGGTAGACATCTGTTGTCTGTCTGAAGTCCGACTACCTAACTGTGGCACAAAACTAATCAACGCAACACAGCAACGCAAACTATCGGTTATACCGCCGCGGCATAACTGACAACTCCGGTTTGCACGGGGTAACAATCGCCGTGAGCGGCCGGGCTAACAATGCCATGATCTCCTGGGAACCAATCTTTCCCAGGATTACCATAGCGCGCTTCAGGGGAAAGCAGTTTAACCTGACTGTCATCGCTGTATGTGTTCCAACGTTACGTACGGAAGAGCCCATCAAAGACGACTTCTACAACCAAGTTCAAGACGCAGTGAACCGCAGTCCGAGACGCGATATCCTCGTTATCGCACCAGACTGGAATGCATGCACTGGTCGATCAGATGGACATACTCGGCATGTTCTGCGAAAGTTCGGCCTTGGTCAACGCTGCGAAAAGGGCGAACACCTAGTCACATTTGCTGACCTTAACCGGCTGGTCGTGGCCA